AGACATGGACGACTGTTGGAGGGGTTGTGGAGCTAGAGGAACATTCCTCCACATGTGGTGGAAATGTCTGACTATACGCAGCTTCTGGAAATCTGTAGAGAATTCAATGAAACAGATATTCGACAGGCCCCTGGACCCAGACCCATGGGTGTACCTCTTAAATAGATCACTAGAGGGATGGACTAGGAGAAAACAAAAATTAGTGCATAAGATTACCTTAAGCACACGAAGAGCAATAGCAACCGCGTGGCTGCTACCAGAGGGCCCAATGTTTTCGGGCGTAATCTCTATGATTAGAGAAAGCAAATTTATGGAAGACCTGACAGCCAGAGTAAAGGGGATCACAGCAGCATTCCGGAGAATTTGGGAACCAAGGGACAACAGCATAGTGGGCACAGGAGGGGACTGAGGGCGACCGTGTAGGGGTACGGGAGATTTACGGCATTGTATAGGTGATTGTCCCTTGCAGGCATCGAAGATTAGTGACGATGAGGCTACGCTAAAAAAATATTCTAACAATTTCCTCCCAACTGTCTGAGAGGCAGTGCCGTTTTTTGGGGCTCTTGTCCTGCCGTCCCTTTTGTGCTGAAGGCACTAGAATCATGCAGAGAGCCCCATTCTTCTTTAGGAAAGCTTACCATGTTTCTGGGTGTCTCTCATTTCACTGCTCTCATCAGTTCCTTCACCTCCATAGCCCAGTTCACTCTCTCCTGCCACTGTTAGGTTCTTCCACACACCACTTTTCGAAGCTTATTTTGACACAAACATCTTATCCATCTGTCCCTCCTCCTCTCTGATATGCTGCTATTTCTCTTGTGTGTCTTTACTCCTCCCTCATAGATTGTAAGCTCATTTGAGCAGTGTCTTCTTTATCTCTTGTTTCGGCTATAATCTATGGATTCGATGTAAATAACTTGTCAAATATCCACATTTTCTAATTGTAAAACACTGTGGAATATGTTGGCACTATGTAAATGCTAATAATAATAATTCCTTTTCCAAACAGGACTACTCATTTTGGGCATTGCTGGTGGTTTTATTGGCATGCCTCTTGGCCACTCAATCTTGGGATGTATCAATATCCAATATTGAAAACACTGAAAACTAAATACATAGAATCACTTACATGTATTCATAGTAACATCGACTGTAAACTCATGTGAAAATATCCTTTTCCAAAGTCTTCAATGTTCACTTCAATGTAGCCAGCTGTGCTCATGAGCTTGCAAGAAAGAAGCTCACTGCCAATGTTGGGAAACAGTTTCCTTGCTTCCCTTTCTCTAAATATCAGCAAAACAAGAAGTCCAAAACATTTTGATCAGAGAATTGTGTCATATTGCTGCAATCCGGTTGTGATATTTAGTGAGTTCACATATTTGCACGAGAATATCAAAGTAACAATACTTCTCAGCAAGGCTAACAGCCCAAGTATACTGTCTCAAAGTAAACAAAGGTGACAAGAGTTCTGATCGCCTCTGTGTATGCTCTGTTTCCAAAATGCTATATCTTTCTTGGGCACTTGACCTGTCCACAGATTTCAGCTAAGTGACATTCATCAAGACAAAAAATGTAGCAGTGCATCCAACTACTCAACAAGGATACTGCGCAGGCTGGTATCTGATTGAGGATTGACTTTCTTCAGGACAATGCTGTGCTGAGGTATAATTGCTGTATGGATACCAGTAGGCCCACTAGAAGCAATCCACTAAAGGATCTTGAGTTCTTTTTGCAGGTGTTTACTTTTATATAGGAAGCCTTTACTTATAGTCAATACTGAAAGGTAGCATGTAGCATATCCTCCATTAAAAGTGTTTTTAGTTATAACAAAATGAGCCCATTCTACAGTGTCAGGTGATGTATTTTTCAGATAACATTCTTCTTTGTTTAAAAAGTAATTACATATAATATCCATTTGTGTGACACCTCTCTAAAATACACATCTGCCACGGTCAAATTTTGAGGAATGGAGCACAACTTTTTTTAAGTAAAAGCTGTAGTGTTGTAAGTGTAGTGTGGTAAAAGCTGTATCACAACACTAAGACAGGGAGCCTGGTGTGGTGATTCTTCAGAAAAATGGTGGCCAATATATACATCCTCATTTACTTACACATGCTAATAAAAAAATAAAAACAACTGTTTCTGTTTATGTGTTTTTATTTTTTTTAAATCATCCTAGCCAATATTAGCTGCATATAACCTTTCTTCTTAAGGAGACACTATAGCCACCATAACAACTTTAGCTAAATCAAGTAGTGGTGAGGGGTAGTCTGCTGCAGGTGACATTCTGCTCATCACTGGATGAATCCTGGATACAAGATTTTATTATTCTCTTCCTAGGTCCAGCCGGGACTCGGAGTTGCAGCACTGACACAGGCAGCATAGGCAAAGCTATATGTCAGAGGTAAGCAGGAAATGACTAGACAGCAGGCTGTGCTTTCAGCCTCTACCCCTCCTACTCCCAGTGCCCGTAAAAGTAAGAGAAATTTGGTCACAGTTTGTGTGAGAAGCTGTGTGCCTTTAACTGCGTGTGTGACTGTTTCTGAGATTATAAATGTGACTTTGTGCCTGTGGCCAGGGCCAGATTAAGAGCCCAGTGGACCTGGTGCTGACAATTATGATGGGGCCTAATTACAGAATCTTATCGACAAAAACATTAAAACAGTCATAACTCTCAAGCGTCATGTAGCTGATGGAGATGGTATTGGAGGGAAACTCAAAGGATGCAGCTATAAGAAAATACTCTATGCTAATTTCTCTCTAATTCATGCTTTCATCTTTTAAGTGAATCCATACCACCTAACAGCAGTGTCCAGTGAAGCAGAAAGTCAATGGGCGAGGTAAAAGGGTCGGCCACTGATGCGAATCACTTGACCAGAACTGCCAAAAGGGGCGAACATGCCCAAAAAGGTGGCATGTCTGTCCAAAGAATTGGAAGGTCAGTCTGGAATCAGTGTCCCCATGTCGCCCAGTCCCCTAGTCTCCCAGTGTCTCAGTGTCCCCATTTCTCCCAGTGTCCCCATGTCTCAGTGTGTCCCATGTCACTAGGATACTGGGGGACATAGAGACATGGGGGCACTTGTGGATACAGACATGGGGACACTGAGACACTTGGGGACACTGGGAGAAATGGGGACACAGACAATAGGGACACAGATACACAGGGACACAGACACTGGGAGACAAAGGGACACTGAGACCTTTGGGGACACTAAGACACTAGGGACACAGAGACAATGGAACAAACACTCTGGGAGACTAGGGGACACTGGGAAACATGGGGAAACTGAGAGACATGGGGACACAGACACTGGCAGACATGGGGACACTGATAAACTAGGGACACTGGCTGGGGGACATATGGACTCTAGGAGACATGGGGACACAGACATTTGGGGACAATGGGATACATGGGGACACTTAGAGAAATGGGGACACTGGGAGACATGGGGAAACAAACAATGGGAGACTAGAGGACACTGGGAGCCATGGGGACACAGAGACACTAGGGACACTGGCTGGGAGACATGGAGACACTGTGTCCCTAGTGTCTCTGTGTCCCAATGTGTACCTCAATGTCCCTATATCTCACAGCATCCCCATGTGTCTCAGCGTCCCCATGTTTCCCAGTGTCCCTAAATGTCTCAGTGTCCCCTAGTGTCTCAGTGTCCCCATGTTTCCCAGTGTCCCCATGTGTCCCCTAGTGTCTCAGTGTATCCATGTGTCCCATAGTGTCTCAGTGTTTACATGTCTCTCTGCTGCCTTTCCTCTCATCCCTCACTTCCCTGAGCTGTAGGCTGTCTCTGCAGGCTGGGAGCTGCTGTCTGAACTCTCCGTGCTGTGTAGCTGCTCACCCGCAGATTAGTGAGTAGAGAGAGGCAGTGAGGGATATGCTGTAACTTCCTATCCCTGCATCTCTCAACACACAGTGACCCCTACTGGCTGGTATTGCAGAGTAATCTCCTTTTATACTGAGAAAAATATCTGCATTTGTATTGCCGATATTAATGCAATACTGGTACGGCCAGGCAGCCTCAAATACCGGCTGTGCTGGTAAAATACCAGTCAGGTGGCAAACCTAAGAGTAGTGTGTAAAAAAAATTAAAAATAAATAATTTTTTTAAATGGGCATATTCCATGGGCCTGGGCCTGTAGCTGCAGCTCCATCAGCCCCTATGTTAATCCGGCCCTGCCTGTGGCTATGTGCATCTGTGTGTATGTGATTGTGTTCCTGCGACTGTATGTGACATTTGTTTGGAGTTATTATGCAAATACTATATTGCCCTATACTTTCTGTTTCCTGTTTACCCCTGACTTTGATGTAGTTCTATAGTCTAACATGGTTCCTCACACTGAAAGTTTGTAATGTCTTCATTGGTATAACCAAAACATACTGTCAGAAGTGACTACAATCAGTACTGAGCCTCTTGTCTGGAGCACAGCAGCTTTGGTACACAGCACAGATTTGTGGATTACTGCCCAGACTGTTCTTTGTGGATTTTCTGACATTTGAGGGTTCAGAGGCTGACAGGCTAAATGGCTACCACGAACTGCATAGCTCCCCCAGAGAGGATGAAAATCAATGGCGGCCGCGAGGCCCCACACAGCGTGAGGCCTTAGGCAGCCGCCTAAACCACCTTATTAGAGAGCCGCCTCTGTGGAGAGGATCTGTAAAGAGTAGTGGGAAAAAATCCCTCCTGAGATGTGTGCAAATCTGGTGGCCAACTACAAGAAACGTCTGGCCTTTGTGATTGCCAAGTAGGGTTTTGCCACCAAGTACTAAGTCGAAGGGGTCAAATACTTATTTCACTCATTGGCATGCAAATCAATTTATAACTTTTTTGACATGCGTGTTTCTGGATTTTTTTTTTGTGGTAATTCTGTCTCTCACTGTTAAAATACACCTACCTTTAAAATTGTAGACTGATCATTTCTTTGTCAGTGGGCAAACATTTAATATCAGCAGCGGATCAAATACTTTTTTCACTGAACCTGATTTAAGCATGGGAGAGCCGATTCAGATGAAGCCGCTCCCTGGTCAAGGGTTCCTGTGTTTCCGAGGTTTGCTCCTATCTCATATCTTGGATGTGGAAGACACTATCAAACGCCGCAATCAAGTGGACCTGCAAGTGGCAGAACAACAGACCATACAAGCCTACAAGCAACCTAAAGAAGAGCTCAATGCCCCTAGTCTTGCTGGACCATGTACAGATGGCAGAGACAATATTGCTGTCATATCTGAAAGATACGAGGTAACATAGTGCAACAATATACCCCCAGCAAGTTCTTCTGTGCCAAACACACCAGCCAAGAAAGAGTACAATACCTTATCAGCACCTTCTGCAGCTGAACTACCCGGACAAAATCCCTGTTGGTTTGCGTAGTGGTTGAATTTCAAAACCACCAGATAGACTTAAACTGTAGCTCATTTAACAGTAACATGATATGTTATGTTTAATTCTGTTCAGTATCTGTTTTAGCTTAATTGTTGCACAGAGTGTGGATTGAATGTAAAAAAAGGGAGATGTTTGGAGTTATTATGCAAATACTATATTGCCTTATACTTTCTGTTTCCTACTTACCCTTGACCTGGATGTAGTTCTATAGCCTAACATGGTTCCTCACACTGAAAGCTTGTAGTGTCTTTATTGCTATAACTGAAACAACATAGTGTATGTGAGTGAGTGACTGTATGCATGTGACTGTGTTACCAGGTACATGCATTTGTAAGTGACTGTGTTTATAATTGTTTGATTATATAATTTGTGATTGTTTGTCTGTGTATCCATGCTTGATGGGCCAAGGTTGAAAGGAGGAGATAAGGAGAAATATACAAGGGCCAGGAGATACACACAAAGAGATGACTTTAAAACTCATGAGAGGGGGATTGCCAACATTCTCATCTGGCTCATGCGCCGATTGATTAGGGTACGCTTCTGATATATGAGTAGGTTAGCGATCACACCCATTTGTAAGAAGAGAATAACATTTGAAAAACAGATCACTGCAAATTTAAGGTAGTCTTTCCAACTTTGGTACAGCATTACTTCATAATACTGCTTCTGGTTGCAGCATGTGTCAATATAAATTGGACAGCACAGCCATCCACAATCCCAGCAGCCAGAACTGAAATTGCACAGCAGTTGAAGTCATACAGGAACTGGAGAAACAAATCTCATGAAGATTATTGGTTAAAACTGAATATTTGTTATATTTGAGCTCTGTTACGGGGGTGGCTCTTAACCTCTATCTTTACATCAGTTATTACATCAGTCACTTACCATAATAACAGACCATGTCTGCAAATCCAGACTGTGTGACAAAATATGATATTATGTACAGTAATGATATTTAATTTAGGACAATTCATGTTGTTTCCTATTTAAATATTGCTGAACAGTTGCATAGTCCAAACATTTTTTTTTTGTAGTTCAATTAATTCCAGAGCATCTTGTGTGGTTATTGTGAAAAAAAAATTCCTTTACCCACTCAGTATTCTTCATTTGTGAATATGTCACCAGACATTAGTAAACAGATGTAGATTTATGGGCTGACCTTTAAGAGGATGGGAAGAGACATTTGCAGATTTTGGCTTATTTATGACTTTGTTCTGTACATCAGTTTATCGAGCATTTTATCTTGAAAAGAAAAAAGTCCAGCTAAGCTTAATTAAGAAATTTTTGTATATTGGTTTATGGAACATTTTGTTTTGGGAAATTATGATGTGACATGAACTTGATATATAGAAGAAAGGGAATTGGGGATACACCCAGAGCATGCATTTCTCAGTAGTGATGTTGCCGTAAAGACCAAAATATAAACAAAATATAGATTAAGGAACAGCAAACAAAACCTCCCACAATTTTACGAGTATAAGCCGACCCGAATATAAGCCGAGGCCCCTAATTTTACCCCCAAAAACTGGGAAAACGTATTGACTCGAGTATAAGACTAGGGTGGGAAATGCAGCTACTGGTAAATTTCTAAATAAAATTAGATCCTAAAAAAATTATATTAATTGAATATTTATTTACAGTGTGTGTATATAATGAATGCAGTGTGTGTATGAGTGCAGTGTGTGTGTATGAGTGCAGTGTGTGTGTGTATGAGTGCAGTGTGTGTGTATGAATGCAGTGTGTTTGTGTGTGTGTTTGTGTGTGTTGCAGAGCCTTGGTGGGGGGTGGGCATTTTTATTATTATTTTTTTTTAATTATTTTAATAATTTTTTTGTTTTATTAATATTTTGTTATTTTTTTTTTATTTTATTATTATTTTTAATATTTTATTATTATATTTATTTATTTTTGTCCCCCCTCCCTGCTTGATACATGGCAGGGAGGGGGGCTCTCCTTCCCTGGTGGTCCAGTGGCATTGGCAGTTCAGTGGGGGGAGGAGGGGGGCTGGCAGAGCTGTAACTTACCTCTCCTGCAGCTCCTGCCAGCTCTCTCCTCCTCCGCGCCGGTCCGGTCAGCACCTCGGTCAGCTCCCAGTGTAAGTCTCGCGAGAGCCGCGGGGTCATAGTGCGGCTCTCGCGAGACTTACAGTGTGAGCTGAGAGAAGAGCTGCACGGACCGGCGCGGAGGAGGAGAGAGCGGACAGGAGCTGCAGGAGAGGTAAGTAACAGCTCTGCCAGCCCCCAGTCTGTATTATGGCAATGTAAATTGCCATAATACAGACTGACTCGAGTATAAGCCGAGTTGGGGTTTTTCAGCACAAAAAATGTGCCGAAAAACTCGGCTTATACTCGAGTATATATGGTACTACTTAAAATAGCCTATCTTGGGGCCGCATCTTAGCAGCAAAACGAGCTGGATGCAGCATAACTGAGCTCCTTGGCAGAAAGCTATACTCACCATGGGCGTCCACAGGAATTTTTCCAGTGGGGGCATAATTGTGCTTAGCCCCTTTTTGACAGTGCCATGAAAGGGAAGGAGCATAGTCATTATCACATAAAGCCAGGGTAAATAGCGTTTTCACAACTATGGTGACAGGAGTATATGTTTGTATTCCTGACACTATAGTGTTATTTTAATCAAATTAAAGGAACATTCTGGTCACCATAACAACTTCATCCAAATAAAAATGCTATGATGCAAGGAGGCCCCTGGGCGCTCTCTTTACTTTAAGGGGTGAAAACGCTCTCAAATGGTTTACCCCCAAAGGCTTCCTCCAGCTCCAGATCTCCAGGTCGCTCATGGGTATTCGGCTTCTGAAACAGACTGTCAGGAAGTGCAGATTGACGTCAGGCATGGGTGCCGCTGATTGGCTAGAGTGGTCAGCTGACGATCTAAGCCAATCGCTAGTTACCAATTCACAAAAATGTTTTACATTTTTATGAATGGGGAGCTACTGGTTGGTTTAGAGTGCCAGCTGACCCTCTAGCCAATCAGCGGCACCCCTACCCAGCGGCTCTCTGTGTTTCCTGTGAACACATTAACACTGAGATTTTTTTTACCTGGGGAGATGAAAAGGTTCAAAGTTTCCCTGGCAGGCCCAGGTACCAACGTCTTATGATGTGGTGTCCAGAATAAGGTGCTCCAATCTTATTTTCTTCTCCTTCATTTCACACAGTCTTCTTTTCCTTCTGAGGCTCCTTCACCTTTCTGCTACTTTCTGCTTATTGTGCGCCCTTCTGCTCCTTTCTCTTTCTGATCCCTTTCTGCTTCTTGCAGACCCTTCCTTATCCTTGCTGCCCCTTCCTGCTCCTTGCAGACCCTTCCTGCTTCTTGCTTCCTCTTCCTACTCCTTGCTGACCCCTCTTGCTCCTTGCAGACCCTTCCTACGCCTTGCTGACCCCTCCTGCTCCTTGCAGACCCTTCCTGCTCCTTGCTGCCTCTTCCAACTCTTTGCTGACCCCTCTTGCTCCTTGCAGACCCCTCCTACTCCTTGGTGACCTCTTCTGCTCCTTGCAGACCATTCCTACGTCAGCTCCTTCCTACTCCTTGCTGACCCCTCCTGCCCCTTGCAGACCCTTCCTACTCCTTACTGACCCTTACTGACCCCTCCTGCTTCTTGCTGACCCCTCCTGCTCCTTGCAGACATATCCTGCTCCTTGCTGCCTCTTCCTACTCCTTGCTGAACCCTCCTGCCCCTTGCAGACCCCTTCTACTCCTTACTTACCCCTCCTGCTCCTTGCTGCCCCTTCCTTCTCATTTCTGCTCCTTATACTTTACCCTCCTGCTCCTTGCAAACCTGTCCTACCCCTTCCTGCTTCTTGCTGCCCCTTTATATTCCTTGCTGACCCCTCCTGCCCCTTGCAGAACCTTTCTGCTCATTTCTGCTCCTTCTACTTTACCTTCCTCTATGCTGTCTCCCCTCCCCCCCCCGCCATCCCTCACTTACCTGATCTGTTGGCTGCCTCTGTGCTGCATCCCTGCAGTTTCAGTCATGAGAGAAAAGCAGAGATAAGCTCAGTGGCGTACATACCAGGGTCGCAGGGGTCGCGGCTGCGACCGGGCCCGGCCCACCATCGGGCCCGGCCGCCCCTGCGACCCGGTATGTACCCACAGGGCCAACCTCTTCCCCTGGGGGGCCCAGGAGCCGGCCACCTCAGTGTGTGAGTGTTAGAGTGAGTGTGAGTGTTAGAGTGAGTGTGAGAGTGTTAGTGTTAGAGTGAGTGTTAGAGTGAGTGTTAGTGTGAGTGTTAGAGTGAGTGTTAGAGTGAGTGTGAGAGTGAGTGTGAGAGTGAGTGTTAGTGTGTGTGTCTTAGTGAGTCTGTTTGATGTCTGTTAGTGAGTGTGTGTTTGTCAATGAGAGTGTATGTTTTGTAAGTGTGAGTGTGTATGTATGTCTGTCGCTGAGTGTGTCTCTGTCAGTAAATGTGTGTGTCTGTTAGCTAGTGTGTATGCGTCTGTAAGTGAGAGTGTGTGTGTCTTCAGCACTTACCTTTCTCCAGCGCCGGACTCCCTTGGCGCTGGGGATCCCTCAGCCTCTCAGCTCCGAATGAGACCGCGCACGCATTCAAACCGCCCATAGGAAAGCATTACTCAATGCTTTCCTATGGACGTTCAGTGTGCTCCTCTAGCGGCTGTCAGTGAGACAGCCACTAGAGGCTGGATAACCCTCAGTGAAACATAGCAGTTTCTCTGAAACTGCTATGTTTTCAGCTGCAGGGTTAAAACTAGAGGGACTGGACCAGGAAAACATACTCGTTTTCCTGGCACTATAGTGCCCTGAGGGTGCCCCCACCCTCAGGGACCCCCTCCCGCCCGGCTCTGGAAAGGGGAAAAGGGGTAAAACTTACCTTTTTCCAGTGCTGGGC